AGCGTTAACGAAGATTCTTATAACGAAGTCCTGATCGGCTGGATCGGCAACTTCGTTATATCGAGGTGTGACTGTAGCCTTATAGCGAAGTTGAGGTTTAGGATATAGAGTTCGTTATAACAAGAGTTGTCTGTATTTAATAATATATTAAAAAATAAGTAAATTAAAATAAAAAATTTATTTTAAATAAAAAATTTAAAAAATAATATTTTAAAATTATTAAAATAAAAAATTAAATTATAATATAAAAAATTTATCAAATCAAAAATATTAAATTTTAATTAAATTAAATTATAATAATTAATTAATTAATAATTAAAATTAATAATTAACCTTTTAATTTGTTGACTGATTATTAATTGATTATAACTAATTATTATTATATTTAATTAAGAATATTAAGATTTAAATAAAATAGATAAAAATTTATTAAAAATTTTTTGATAATACTCTATAATTAATATAAGATTTTAATTATTCTTCAATATAAAAACATAAAGAAAATTTCTTGTTAAAAAAATCAGTTTATTCATAAATAATTTTAAGTAATATAGATAATTTAATAAAAATTATTACTAATTATTTATTTAAAATTTTTTTCAAGTTTTTAATTATATTATTAAAATCATTTTTAAATAAAAAATTTTAAAGATATAATAATATTTACTTATATAATAAATAATTTAAATTAAGAATTTTAATCAATAATAATTAAAGAAAAATATTAATTAAAATTTATATGTTATTTTTTAATAAAAAATAATAATATTATAAATATTAAATTTTAAATAAAATAAACATTTTTAATATTTATAAATAAAGCTTTATATTAAAATACTTAATTAAATATATAAAAAATTTTAATATAAATTATTAATCTATTTAAATTATTTTAATTTAATTAAATAATATAAAAAAAATTATATTAAAAAATATAATTAATCTAAAGTATTTTATAATAATTTTTATATATAGTATAATATAAAATCTAATATTATAAGATATAAATACTAAATAATATATAATAATATTTTTATAAATATATCATCTATAAATGTATTACTTTTTATATACGGTAATTTTTCTTTATAGTCACCTCTTATACAATTACATTATATAAATTCCTTATTATAAGTATATATGTAAAAACTAATATTTATTAATACTATATAAAAAAATACTTTTATAATTATAGTATTTTTATAATTACACCTTTTTAGAATTAACATTTAGTAACAATATATAAAAATTCTCTATATAGTCACTTTTTATTACAATTATATTTTTTATTTTTAGTTCTAAATAGTACTTTTATAAAGAGAATGACTGTATATATTATAACTTAATCTTAATTTAAAAACTTAAAGCTAAATATATTTTCTTTATATTTTATATATATAAGTAATTTTAAGTTTAAAGTATATTAAATTACATGATTATGATCAAGGTCACAAATAATTTTTTAAAATAGATTAATTTATTTATATAATATTATTTTTATACATTTCTAAAAAAAATTATCATTAATCTTTTATATACTAAATATATTATATGGGTTGATTGCTAGAAAAATCAGGTTCTGGGAATTTTTTAGTAAAATTGAGATTTTTATTGCATTTTAGTTTTTGATGTTATTAGATCAAAATATATTAAGCTTTTAATTTTAGTCAAAAATTTCTCAGAACCTGATTTTCCTAAAAACACTCTCATATGTAAAAAAATTAATTAGCTTTAAAAAAATATAATATTAAATAATTAGAATTAAATTTTATATTTATTTAATATTATATTTAATCAATTTATATATTAATTTATATAATTTATGTATTTTATATTTAAAAAATTTTTTTTAATATAATTAAAATTTAATTTATATAATTTTAATTTTTTATAAAAAAATTTTATTTATAAATAATATATATACATATAATATAATAAGTTAATTATATCACTTATACTAATTTTACTTAATAAATTTTTAATTTAAATTCGTATCAAAATCAATATTATTGATGGTTGAAATAGCAATATGCTTAGAATATTTACGTTGTCGTTGCCATTGAATAATTGAATTATATAATCTATTAAGAATATTAATGATAATTATTAAACTACTTGTAATTAAAGTTAAAAATGGAATAATATCATAAGATATAATTTGTGTTTTATAAAGAATCTAATGAAATATTTTTTATAAAAAAGTGTTATAAAATTAATAAATATATAAATATATTATTTATTAATTATATTATATAAATTAATTACCTGTATAATAAATTGAGGAATATCCTCAATAATAAAATCTAACAATCCAACCCAAAATAAAATTATTTGTATTCTTTCAGAATAATTAGCTGTAAACATACTTAATCCTGCAAATTTAGATGATAAAATATTTAATGCTTCAATATTTGTTGCTCCTAAGATTGTGAATATTGAAGTAACAGTTACATGCAATTTAAACCATTCATGAAATTGATTATTATAAAAATTCTCATAAATAATTGATATAATTGCTATAGTACAATTGATGCTAGTAGGAACTATTAAAGCAATCAAACTATTAATAAGATATAAAAAATTAAAAATTAATAATCAATTATATACTTATTTATTAAATAAATGATTTTATAATTTTTACAAACCTTGCAATATAAATCCAATAAATATCTTTACTATTTCTATATATAAATAATATATCTAATATAAAATCCATAATTATTAATGCAAGTTGAAAGATAATTATACTTTTTCCCTACAAGAAAATTAAATTATTTAATTTTTGATATACAAAAAAAAAAATAGATTATTTTAATAAATAACAAATTACCTCCTTATTTTTTTTATTAGCCCATAAAAATATCAAACATAAAATGAAAAGAAAAACCAAAAATCCTATCAAATAACTTTTATTATCTTGTATAATATCTTTGATACCAACTGTAAATAATAAATCAGAAAATATAATTTTAATTAGTTCAAATAAAAAAAATAAACAAAAATATTACTATTTTGATTTACCTCTATACTTATAACCATAAGTTTGATCCAAAAATGAAGTATAATTATTCATCGAAATTTCAGTAAATCCTTTATATTTGATCATAATATCGAAGTCCTTTTGCAAACTATCCGCATTCCTTTTATAAGTATCCTTTGTAGATTTGATTTGTAAAGGAATAATTACTTGAGTTGAAGCATCAATTTGATAAGAGCCTTTACTTTCTAATCTATCTAAATCAACGGGAAGAATTGAAGATATTTCTTGAATTAATTGATAAAGAAATTCCGTTTGATTAGAATCTAAAAATTTATCAGTTCCTTCAGGTGTTAAACAGACTGATCCAGAAAATGATTCTAAAATAGAATTTAAATTTATAAATTCTTATATTTGCTATTAAATTATTGAATAGTTTGGCATATTTTACCTGCATATGGGTTTTCTTCATTTTCTAAAGAAAAAAAATTGTTCTACGTTAAAAATTATTAAATAATGATGTTAAATAATTATTAAGATTAAATAATTACCTGTATAAAGATTCCAAACAAATGGTTTAATTCCAATTATAGGTTCATGAGTTTCACTTTGTTTTACAAAATTAGATTCAATATATATCATGTACTCTTTATTCGGTTGATTAAATGTGCTTCGTAATAATTTTATAGAAACCGTTTTATGATCAAGTTCTGAACAGAATTCTGAAATATTGCCAGATGTTGTTTGACGTATCGCATTCTTTTCATTATTAATTTGAAGAACTGTAATGTTTCTTATTGATAGAGCAATTGAATTCGCATAATTTATTTGGAGCTTGTCTCTTCCCAATGAAATTTTAGAGCCATATGATGGATCAACTGATTCAATATTGGCCATCACCAATTTATAATTACGACCTATGAAAATAAATAATGTTCAGTGAATAATAATATATAATGAATATATATATATATATATATTTGTTATTTTTTTACAGAAAGATAATTGAATTTACCATCGTCAACAAACTTTGGAAGAGGTGCTGTAGTTAATGTAAAGCTGTTTGGTGTAATTTCAGAAATCATTTCAAAACTGTTTTCATCATCATTGCTAAAGGAAACACATGGAAATGGAATTGTAAAATTTTCCAATTTTGAGTACCAATGATCATTATTATCATAAATTTCACCGCCAAATTTACATCCTAATGGATCATCAAAATACAACATGAAATAACCTCCATAATATAAATTAGATTTTGCAACAAGAAAAGCGTTAAGATAAACTTCATTATATAATTCTTGGATATCAATAACCGATCCAGATGAAAGGAATGAAATCAACAATAATTTTGTGGTTGAAGATGAAGTTATGAGACGAATAACACATGTGTATTGAAATTTCGTAATGTCTGGATTGCACATTGACATTTTCATGGTTATATTTGAAATTGCTGTTTGATAAATAATGAATGGTTTTGTAAAATCATTGATCTCAGGGATGAAAAAGCTAACATAAATAATTATGCTTGGTTGTAAAGAATCAGTTGTCATATTATTTTGTAAAGGAAAATTTTTAGAATAAATATACCCAATTCCTTTATCAATTGTAGCGAATTTTAACGGAGGATTCTCAGCTTGCAATGATAAATATTTTAGAGATGCGGTTCCATTATCAATTTCAATGAATCCAGTACCATCTAAACTAAATTTTATTTATTATTTATTTATTTTAAGAACGTAAAATAACCAAAACATACTTATTCAAGTAAAACTTACATTGGGTCATATTTTTTCCATAAAAAAGTATCAAGATCGACGGGTAGAAAGTAATAAAATGTATTATCGGTAAATCTAAATGATCCCGAGAATTGAGGATCCTGGGGACCAATCCAAATATCCCTATTAGAAAGTATCAAATACATTTGTTTTACGAAATAACGAAATTAAATATAAAAAGAAAAAAAAATTTGTTTACCTTAATATTTTTCCTTCTAAGCTTATCGTAAGAAGTTTCCTTCCAATTGGGGCGGTAATATCACTTTCAGAAAAATTATTATATAATAAATGAAGTTTATTAAGAAAAGGAAAAATTTCAATATGATCTATTGAAGGGTTTTGTGGATAACGTCGACAGAAATTTTTATTTGGAATTGAAAAATTTTCAACTTCAAATGTTGTTAAAGTTCCATTTTTATAAAGAATTCTTAGATGCAAATTGGGTTCATTACAATCTTTATCAATTGGACGATAAAATCGAAACAAAAAAGATCCATTCGGAAGCACAAAGTTGCTACCTCGAGAAAAATGCAGACCATTTTCGGATATATTGTAGGTATTTTCAGTGTAAGTATGAATTTCCGTAAAACTTGATAACGCAAGAATAAAAATCATAAATAAGTTTGGCTTCATTTTTTTTTTTAGGAATAAAATTATTAGCAATTTAAGAAGAATGTTAGGATTTAAATAAATGCGAATTTAATGAGCTCGAAACTGGTTTTTTCCCGTTATTGAAATGTGTTCTTTAACTGTCGAAAACAGTCGGTCATTTGACCGACCGACTGTTTTAACCATATAGTTCGACATGAAATATGTAATCGAAAATCAATACTCAGAAATCAAATGAAAACCAAAAGTTATTTTAACCGTACACATTGGGCATAAAAGAAATTCCTTAAAAGTTGTTCCCGATATTTTTTTATTTTTTTTTTTTTTCATAGGGGAACCTTTTTTCCTTGGCGTTTTTTTGGATAATGATTGGTTGTACCTTTTTGTTGAACAACCATTATAAAATAAGTAAGGATGAACATTATAAAAAATTTCATTTATAGATATTTTTAATTAGGTATACAAATAATACGTAACATAACATTTTACAAAGGGTTTAGACACATCATGCACCTTTCGGAATAGAGCATTAAAAAAATTGAACTTTAAGTACAGTAACGTTATTTTTAACCATGATGAAAAATTTGTCTTTTTATTTATAGTTAAAATAATAAAATATCGCGAACGAAATGATAGGTAACAATGCGAATGCAATTAGAACTTATTTGTTTATATTTACAGATGCTGAACAACTTTACTTCGTCATACAAATTATGTATGATTTATCCAGCCTACTTGTCAGGAGAGGATGCATTGATGATGTCTATTTTTAACCTTTTTATTTTTGAAATTTGGTATCATGGTTGCCGTCTCGATTAATAAAACCCGATATAATATTGAAAAATTCCTTAATTAAATTCAACCCACAAGAGTGTAAAGTTACACCACGCTAAGGGAATATTCTTGTGCCTCATTAATGTAAAGGAAACTTTCTCAATGTTAACCTTTTTATTTATTATTTTTTTTTTGTGATCAAAAATTTTCATATATATATGGGTTCGAACTGACCTTTCTTCTTCCAACCTTTTTTTTTATAAAAAAAAAAAAAAAAAAAAAAAAGGAACGAAATCAAGAAATAAATAATTTTGAAGAAAAAATCATAATTTAAAAGTAAGCATTCTTATCGTTTAAAATAAAAAAAAAAAGAATTTTTTTTTAACTTAATTTTTATTGATTTTTATTTTATTGTTTCTCTTAAAAAATCATTTTCATAGCTACACGAAGAAATTAAAGCATCAAAACATCAAAAATGAAACAAATCCTCAGATTATTTATTGTACTTGCTTTCATCGTTGTAATGGTAACTCCAATGGCCGTAAATAAGCGACAATTGCCAGAGTGTCCAACAGATGACAATACAACTGCACCACCCAATATGTCCGATAATGATGTTGTTCCAACGTCCAACGATGACACTTGTTATAAGCCTAAACCCGCAAATGCTTAATTAATTCAATTTCTATTATGATTGATGATCTATTTAGAATATAGAAATTTATTTTTTCGTTCATACATGTACTATAGAAACTTTAACTCTTATAATGTTTATATTATTATTCTTGGTATCAAATTATTATTATCATAATTGTTATTATTTTTTAATTGAGCAAGGTTTTTAAAATTTACGTCATTATACAATTAAAAATGGTGAGATAATAAATGAATTATACTTTTGAAAGTCTGTTAACGAATTATTTAAAAAGTGGCATTAAATGTTCGAAATTCGTGTTACATATTATCGTGACCGACTTCCTAAAATTTTTGATAGAACATTAAAACTTACAAAACAATCCAACAAAATGATTTGGCAATGAAGTTGTTCTTAGATTAGATTTCTTGTTGTAAAGGAAATTGAAAGAAAGTTTATTTCATTTATTTCATTTTTACTTATTTTTAATAAACAAATAAATAAATGGTTGATTATTCCAACACATATTTGATTAGTAACATAATAGCACTGCTTCAGGAAATTGAATTGAATTACTACGATATTTACCATAAATAAATAAATAAATTAAATATTTTATCATGCAAAAACGAATTATCAATATAAAGTTTCAATTTTTTAGCATCGAAGAAAAAAATTTTAATAGCGCCGGCAGATTTTGCCGCAGGAGATCATCATCTCGGAGGTCGTAACTTATCTCAAAAAAACAATTTAATAGGCCCCGTTACATACTTATAAGATTAACAAATTTACTTCTTCAAAGTGGCGGATGACGTAAAATTTCAATAATATTTTATTTTATTAGTTGAGATATCTTATTTATTAAAATACCTCTTAAGGTATAAAACGTGTATCCTTATTAAAAAATTTGCATTGCATATGTTCGATCTGCAATAACGAAGTTTATCAAATGTTACATAAAAGTAATATATATATATATATATATATCATTTTATATAATTTGAAAAACAGTTTTCAATTATACTTATGATAATCAATCTTGAGAGAGTATTGCTTTACTTGATTTTTATTTTTTTACTATCATATTAAGCTCACAACTAGTGATTGCACTATCCATTTCTTGATGTATTAACTCTATAAGTACTGTGCTTGCTTTTTATAAGACGATTTGTGGAACTCCTTCCCAGATTTTAAATAACTCTTTGACCTTTTTATCATCAACCTTTGGGAATAACACTTTACAAGGAATATTTGAATTCCCTGTTAAATCATTGAATGTGCTTTTGGAAATACATGCAGATATTTCATCCCATATCCATACTGGCATATAAAGTTTTTTTGTTCCTATCCAATTTTCAAAGTTTTGATAATCCTTTCTCTGTGATGAAGTTGCAAGAATTGTTTTGGCTTTGCACTTCATTGGATATTTTCCATCGACAAGATACCAAGTACCTGATTTATTTAATTTATTTTGAAATAACAGTATCATTTCATAAAATATATTTTCTTGATGAAAGAAAATAGGATTCTGATTGACTTGATCATATACCACACATTTTCTTTTTTTTATCAATTGGATAAGCAGGTAGTAAACAAAGAATGTTTTTCCAATCACTAGAGTTCCTGAAATACAAAAGTTTTTATCATTAGTTTCAAAAATTATCATGGAGAGATCAATATAACATTGACAAACAAAAATATTTGATCCTTATTTTGATTTATCAAATAAGTAGGTATCTTCCATTAGAGATATTAATTTTTTTTCAATTTTAACATTCTGAATCTCCTTTCAGAATATAAAGAGATGTGTATTTTCATCTAAATTATTTCTTTTATAAGGAAAAATAGTATGCATTTGAAGTAATTCTTTATGAGAATATTTAAAGCATTATTTTATCAAATAAATTCCATGATAATGAATAAAAGAAATAAATAGATTACATAATTATTACACACATATTGTAATGTGTAAAAAAAAAAAAATAAAGTATAAATTAATCACAATATACTAAAAAATATAAACAACAAATAGTTTGAATAGAATAAATAGATGATGATTTCTGCTTATCTTTTATATACTATAATATTTAACAACTCACATTTTAACGCTTTAACCTCTCACATCTTCTTTGTCACCTTTAACTCCTCAATCTTATCTTTCCATTTCTTCCTCTGTTTGTTATTCTTATACTCATCACTATTCAACTTATACTCAAACTCGTTTACTCACTTCAAAGTTTTCCACTTTTCTTTTTGCTTCTTCTAATTCTTTTTCAACCTTTTCAATTTTTAAATTATAAAAAGGACAAAATTTTTTAATAGTAGATTGATATCAAAGCCAACTTTAATCAGCTTAACAAATTAAGCAATTTTATTTTTGCAAGGTATTTTTTGAGTTTTTGAAAAATAAAATTAATTTAAATGTTAATATTATTATTTATATAAAATTCTAAAGAAATAATTATTTAAAGGATAATATATATTTTTTATTGATGATTTTGAAATTTTTGATATACAATCAATCTTCTTTATAATTAATATCTCTTAAAATTAAAAAAAAAAAAATATGATTATATAAAAGGTTTTTTTTTAAAATAAATTTATTAGTAAATTAGATTCAAAATATATTTTGCTTATAGATAGAAAAATTATATTTTACATGATTATATAAGAAATAATTACACTTATAGTTAAAATATAAAAAATTATATTATAAGTTTTAATTAAAAATTAAATTTTTATATTTTTAAATTATATATTATAATAAATTTAATATATTATTAAATATAATTTAAAAATTTTAATATAAATATTTATTAATTTTATTGCATTTTAGTTTCAATGTTATTATGTTAAAATATAATATGATTTTAATTATAATTAAAAAATCTCAAAATTTAATTTTTTTTAGCAAACTTCCTATATATATTTATATAAAATATTTTAATGTTCACCTACTCAAAAATTGAGTTGATGCTAATTCACTTTTGCAATTACACAAAAGTACTAATAAATAGTATATAATATTTATAACATAATGTACATATATGCATATTATTTTTTAGTATGTATAAATTACACAATATAAAATGTGCACAAATTATTATTCAAAATAGATAAATTACATATAAAAAAGATAAAAAACTAATATAATTTTCTTATTTTAATTATAAATTTATTAAATAGTACACATAATTTTTAATTTAAATTTTATATACTGCTGATAAAGCAAATATCAATGTAATTTTTAATTAAGATTGCTTTAAGTTTAATAACAGTTTCTATTTTTCAATATACAGTATACAATAATTATAAAATAAATCAATACTAATTAATTGTCTTAAAAGCTAATAGTTCATCATTCATAAATAGTAAAATTATAATCTTATACTTATTTTAATAATTGAATTTTAATAAATATTCTGTAAAAATTTAATATTTAGTTATTAATACCAATTTTATATAATTTAACCATATACATTAAAATTTATTACTTAATAAATTTCAAAAAATTTACTTTGTATGCCTTGTTTCCTTAAAGATTGATCAATTAGATGATATAATATTTATATATAAACTTTTTTTATTAATAAAAATTTTTCATTAATAAACTTTAGATTTCTAGGTCGATTTTTAAATTTTAATGTTACATAAACCAAAAAATTAAAGTTGCATAGCCTTATAAATAAGATTATATTTTTTTTATAATTTTTTTCTGAAATTATATATAATTTAAATTTAAATATATTTTTTTTAAGTTTTACATTTATACTTAATTTAATTAAAAAATGCAATATATTAAATTATATTGTTTTTAATTAAAATTTATATATAAATCATTAAAAAAATATAAGTATTTTGTAGTAGGAAGGGAGAAAACTACTAAAAAAATTTTTTTTATTTTATAAGCTAAATATTATTTTTTTAGTAATATAAATCTAGATTTAACATTAATACAAAAAAAATTTTTTAGTAGTTTCCTTCCTTTCTATTATAAAGCGTCTATATATATTAGTAAGTAAAAATATTATATTATTATTAAATATAATATTATTTAATCCTTTTGATTATAAATTATAATAAAAGTTTTAAACTGTTAAATTTAATATAATTTATAATTATTTTATCAAATATAATATAATTATAGATTCTTTCCATTCAATAAATTATTTTTATTATTATGAAAATGATATTACAATTAAATTCTATTATTATAATTTAATCTGTTTTCTTTTTAACTTATATTTTAAGTTGAATTTATAAATTTAAATCTTAAATTGATTAATATATATCAATTGATTTTTGAAATATATTAACTTTAAATTTTTTTATTTTCTATAATTAATAATATTATTTAAAATTTATATCTTTATTATTTTACTATACTAAAAATTAATGTTACAATAATATATATTAAAAGTTTAAAAAATATTTTTTATTAAATGACTTATTAAATAAATATTGTAAAAATACAACTTTTTAATAATGAATTTAAAAATTGTTTAAAATGTATATTATTTAATTTATATAAACTTTTAAATAATAGATTTAAATTAAAATTAGTATCACTTATATTTTTATCCTAATTATTAATAATAACTAAGTAATTTTTATATTAATGCTTTTAAATTAAAAAATTAAATAATGTTTTATTAGAAATATAATTTCTTTAAATACTAAGAATATTATTTAATTTTTATAAAATGATTATATATAATTAATAACAAACTTCTAATCTTTTTAAATGAAATTTTTATTAAAAATAATGTTATAATGTAAGATAAAACTTAAGGTAATATTAATTACTATTTAATTAATCTTAAAATTTTATTTAAATTTCTAATAAATTAAATAAATTGAAATCTCAATTTTAAAAATAATAAGATTCCTATATTTTCAAATATTATTACTTTTAATAACTAATAATTTTCTTAATTTTAATACATAAAGTAATATCTATTAATCCTTTTATATAAAAAATATATTTTTCTTAATTATATTTATATATTTAAAAATGTTGACAGTCATGAAGTATTACATTTAGATTACCTACTATAGATACCTGCTAAAACCTCCTCAAATAATTTCATCATACTCTTTTCTATATTTTTAATATAGTTTATCAGTTTTAACTTTCGTCGTATCAAAAGAGTTTTATCATATCTCTTATTATAATTTTAATATAGTTTTATCTAAGTTTTAACTATTATTAAGGGATTTCGCCTCTCATTATTATTACCTACATAAATTAATCATAGAATTGTAAAATATTACACAAAAAAAAGACAATTTTGTTTTCTAATAAAATTTGAGTTTGAATCTTGAAGTTAATTATATAAAGTTTTCTTTTTAGATATTTATGTAACATCACGTGATTAATAAGAAACTATATTTTTATAGTAATATTATTATATTTAAAATTATTAGTTATTGATATATAGTACTGATATTTGAAGTGTAATTAACTGTTGATATATTCAACAGGTATTTACTAATTAATAATATAAAAACTAATTTAAATAATTATAAAATAAATAAAATTATTAGTAATTATTATATGATATATTAGTTAAAGAATAACTAGTTATTATATATTTACTTTTATTAATTAAGTAATAATAATAATTTTACTAGTAATTATTATCAGAATCTGATAAAAAAAATCAAAAAATATATATAAAAGTCAAAAATAATCAGCAAAATTTTAGCCTAAAATAAATAATTTTTATACATTTTATTATATTATATATCAATTTATTTATTTATTATTTCAGATTAAAATAATTATTTTCATTTTTAAAGTTCTATTTTATTAGTATTATTTTATAATAAATATTATATTAATTTGTATTTAATAAAAGATTATTTATATTATTACTATTAAAAATTCATAATAATCTTTAAATGTATTACATAAAATCAAAGAATAATGATTAATCATTATATTATTAAATAATAAGTAAAAAATAAAGTTGAAAGAATACTTATATATAAAAATAATATATTCATTTAAAGTAATAGTTATAAATAAATTATTACTTATAAAAATAATATATCTTTAATTTTTGTAAAATGTTTAATATTAAAATTATAATTATCATAAAATTCGTAATATAATGCTTACATTTGACTAATATAAATTTGTTTATCATAAAATAGAAAATAAATTAACTTTATGTTAAAAGAAAAATCTTTTGTTACATTTATATTTTCTATATATATATTATCTAATAAAAAAGTATTTAAGTAAAAAATTATAATTATATTAACTATAATAACTTACTTTGTGAAATTATTTTTTGATTTCATTTTTTGAAATATAATTTACTTTTTTGATTATAATTAGTAAATATTTTAACTAATATTTTGATAAGTAGGTTTCTATTTATTTGTTCTTTATAAATAAACCTTTTTTTTTTAATTATTAATTTTACAAAATAAAATAGGAATATAATTAATCTTATTTAGTTAAATAATATTTTGTTTAGTAGTAATCTGAGAATTTGAAGTTTAAAGCATTATAATATTAAATGGCTATTATATGCATTATGTCTTTTATTTTTTTTTTAATTAAAAGATTAAAATCAAAGTTATCTTCTAATATTTAGAACTATAAAAATATAATTAAAATATTAATAATATTATAAATTTTTTAAATATTTATTAAAAATTATAATATTTTTAAATTTACAATTTTATTGTTAAAATTCAAATTATTTTTATACTTGCAGAATGTGCATTATTCATAAAGTTTTGTATATATCTTATAAGTTATATGCTTTATTATATATAAAATTTAAATAATAGTAAAAGCTATTATGAAATATTGCACTTATTATCTTTTAATTATATATAAAATTTAAAATAATATATGTACACTAGCTATGTAGATCTAATTTTCATCACTATTACTATTCAAATAAGATGTTAAATATTTTAATTTACCAAATCTATCTTTGCTTAATATTTATTAATATTAATTTCTTTATCTGAATCTTGTTTATAATTTGAAAAATCAGTTTGTATATATAAAACTTTATTTAATATTTGATCAACTGTTTTTTAAAATTCAATCATATTACTATCAGTTTTAGATTCAATATTTATAAGTGATTTATATATTATCATATATAACTTAACTTAATATATATCATATTATAACTTATTATATTAATGTTAAAGATTCATTTAAAATATAAAATTTTATGTATTATTCTAATCATAAACTATTATATATATTCTTAATATTTGTTAAACTGTATTTTTACTGATTATAAATTTTTTAATAAAATTTTTTATAATATATATAAATAAAATAAAATATTAGTACAAAAGCCAAAATTTTACAAGATTACTTATTATTATAATTAGTATTTTAAGAATGATTTTAATACTAAAGATCTAGAAGTCAAATATTTTATCAATTTACTGAATAATATCCACTAAATTTTCCTTTCCAAACACTTTCTCAGTGTGTCATTTGCAACTTCCTGCAGTGAACCAAGTAACCACACAACTATTAATTATAAATTATCTAATTATTAATTAGATTAAGAGTGAAAATTCTGAATTAAAATTTAAAAAAACTATTACGACCCCAGTTCCACCGCCACAAAACAACACTTCATTTTTTAAAAAAAATAACTAAAGAAGTCCAAGTTTTATTAGCGATGAAAACTCAATAATATGAACTATTTATCAATATATATTCTTTAGATTATACTGTTACAATTTTATCGCCGACGATTCTAGGAGGTGACATTTTTCAAGTCGATGTCACTTTATTATGAATAATGGGTTAAAAAAAAACTTTGATATATAATTTTTTTTTTTTATTAATCGTACATACAGTATATCAATTTTTACGGGTAAAAATCATATCGAACCGCTTTATTAGTTGTTACCATTTAATTTACATTACATAATTAATTATCGATTTTACTAGTTTACAAAAAAAGGAAAGCGTTTAACATTAAACCAACATGCAATTACGGCTAGCTTAAATAAAAATAAAGTCTTCTATGCTTGTCATATTTTAATGAATATTTTGTATAAATGAACCGTTAATTTCGTAAATGCGAAAGATTTTCATAATACCATAAAGGATTCAATGTGCTCGCTATGAAAAAAAAACATTTTTTTTTCGTATGACTTCAGTACATTTACGATTATTAAAATGTATTGATTTTGCAAAAAATAATTAATAAAATGTGTGCGGGTGTATATATTAAAAGTGTGGGGTGTAAAATAAACGAAGTGAGTGGTTTTGAATAGGAGCGAATAAATGTGAATTAAAAAAAGGGTGTAAGTGCTTGGACAATGATTTGAATTTTATTAAAAATATTGCTGAAATCGATTTTCCGATCATTGCCCATTGCCGATATAACAGAATTTTTAACGTTGGTTATAAAATCTGCTGTTATTTTAAAAAAATTTACAACAGTTTCGTTAGATTATCTTTATCGAATCGTATATTAATCATTTATTATTGAACGGGGCTATATCGGTCTTCGACCGATATTTTAACGCCCCGTTCAATAACATACAATTACTTACTTTTATTATGAGTTCGATCTGTAGATTTGATAAAGATCCCAAATGTAGTGAATAAATCTGACAGAAAATTCTTCTTACGAGCTATTGAAGGACAAACCAACTTCGAACAGGAACCATACCGAAAGTCCTATGGAAAGTCCTTTTCACAAAATTATCGTAATTTTTAATTTTAATTTTTTTTTGCAAACAAAAAATTACATCGGTTTATTTAAATATTTATTCTGGAGTTTTAAAAATATAATTGTTTATGATCATAAGTGGATCACAAGTGATTACATAGATGGGGGCTAGCTAAAATATTCTCCTGTTTTAGAACGTTTATCAGTATATCAGGAATTATTTACGCGGAATTCTCAGATTTTTTTCTTTTTTACTATGAGAGACTTTATTAGGAACGAATGGGGCGTTGCTGTCTTTTTTTTTTGTGGGAAATATTATACATTTGGTGGAAACACATCTTTACCAATAATAAATACCTACTTTACAACATATTCTGCTGTTAACAAGTACCCTACCAAAATTCAATAGTATATAATTAATTTACAGTTTTTTATGCTAAATAGAATTCGCTAATTTTGCTGATTTCCAACTCTTTACGGATTAGCTCTCAAACAACTAGCTAACTTGACTTGTTTTTTGTTATCTCCGGAGACAATAAACAATCAAAGGATAACAATATCCTTTTTTTTTTATTGTCAAATTGATTCACATGAGAAAATAATTATGCATCAAATAATAAAAATTTAACGATTAATCAAGTGATGAATGAATGTTGGAACAATTATAATAATTTCTGAAACAACCTGTTTTGAAACAAGAAAGTAATCTGGGCCCAAAAAAATAACCTGATTTTTGCCAAGCGTTATTGCTGTGAACTTCCCTAAATATCATGATCATTCATTGCCAATTAAAGTAATTGTATATCTAAATGTAAATATTATCGATACCAATTTTTTTTTTATCTCTGACCAATAATAAATCACAAAAGTTATCTAACTGAAATTACAATGTCAAAAATAATGTGATCAAAATATTTATATTATCCATATATTTTTATAATAAATAAAAAAAGAATTAAATTAAATATCATGATATTTACTGTATTTGCAATTTAAAAGTAATTTATATAATATAATATATTAAATAATTTTTTTATATTAAAGTATTTACCATATTTTGTTTATTAATAAGAATTTGAAGATCACGAGAAGTTTTAAAAGTATACTGGAAGTATGAATAAGAAAAAATAAAAAAAATAAATTGTTAATGAAATTAAAAAAGATATTTTGTTATTTAATTAAAATAAAAAAAAAAGTTTCTTTTATGTACTTAAATTTATACAGTTAAAGCTGAATATAATGATGTTTTTATTTTATTTAAAAAATATCAGTATATCAAGAAATCATTATATCAAATTATCTTTATTTAATGATATAATAAAGAAAAATATATAAATTAATATATACAAATTAATACAAAATAAGTTTATAATTCGATACTATAATACATTATCAAGTCAAATATTATTATTACTATTATAATTCATAAATTATTTTAAACTAATTTGCTTTTACTATTAAAATTATGTAGCATTACTTGACTTCTTAAAGAATGAATTTCCATAAGATTTTTTAATTCAACAGCAAATCCATAAGGTGAATTAGTTAAAAAACTTAAAATATTATCTAAAACTAATCATGCTATCATAGAAGAAATAAGTTGAATAAGTACTATTTCTTCATTTTTTTCATTATTTTTTTGTGTAGGCTGTATTGATTGTATAATATTTTCATTAGTTAAAGTTTCAAGAATAATATTATCATCTATAATAGCAAATTCTTGTATAACTATCAGATCTTCAAATTCAAGATGATCAATTAATTTTTGTATATTATATAATTCATTAACCCGTTCAAGATCAAAATAAGTATTAATTCATCTATTCCATTTTAAAGTTTAAATCCTCATCTAATTTAAGAAAAATATCTGTTTTTCACTAACAATTATAAATTGTTTATGTAGTAATAGCCTTTCATATATCAGCAGTAAATAAAATTACATCAAGAATGTTAAGCGAATTAAGAGTCTTATTTAATTCTTGTGCTATATCATATGCTTCTATATAATTTTTTATAAGTAATTTTCTATATTACGCCTATTAAAAAATATAATATAATTAATAATAAAATTAATAATAATATAATAATTTATATAATTATCATTATTAAATTAATAAATAAAATAAATTTCAATTATATCTTAAATAAATGTATAATATCTACATCAAATGGTTAAAAGTATGATATTGTATTAGGTAATAAAAAATGCTTTAATATGAGTAAGTAATTCAGAATTATTAATAGTATGTATTGGTACATTATTCATTAGAAGAAGAATTTTTATATTTTCACGATACATTTGAATATTAAATTTTTTTAAAAAATCATTTTATATTGATACTTGCATTCATACTGTTTTATTTTAATAATATTATACAGGTAAATTTTCTTTTTTTTACTAAAAAGAGCACGAAATTTTTATAATAATGAATAAAAAGTAGAGAAAGTTTTTTTATTCTATTAGTATTACATATTAACATAACTGTAATATGATTTTTAGATTTTTTTATTCCTGAAATAAGACTATTTGCTAAGATTTTATATATTTCTAATTGCCAAAATAAAGTTAAATAATAAAATTATTAAATTATTAAATTTTATATATTTAAATATAAATAATATAAATAATTTATTTTTAATTATCTGTTTCATCATAATTATATACATTTTCAAGTTCATATTCACTAATAATATTTTGAAGTTTTGCTCTTTTATTATCTAAAGTATCAAGTGAAGCACTATGTAATTTACTTATTTTTGTATATTGTTGAATAAGATGTCATTTTTTAAATCCTGAAAGCCAACCATCTGATACAGAAAATTTTCTATATTGAGCAATTGTGCAAAAATACATGCTTTTACTTTTAAAACATCTCCTGTAATTGTTTAATTTGCAAAAAATACTTGCATAAACCAAATTGCTAAAGAACTTTCGATTTCTAATAAGCAGGTGTACAAGTTTTTTTCTCAAATCATTAAATTCAGTATTAGATTTAATCAATTTTTATTTATCTCTTAAAATATTTGAAATAGTATTTTGTTTAACTTCATATATTTCAGCAAGTTGCTTTTGTATTAGTTGTAGTTTTTGTTCATATTTTAAACAAATTTTGCATTTTTGAGTAAATGATAATGTAATATGAATATGTTTAGTAGGAATATTTTCTTTACTATTAGAAGTATTTCTTTTTTGTAAAAGAGCCATTTGATAAAAATATTTAAAATTTTCAATGTGTTAATATATAAATTTAAATTTGAAATACATAAAATACAAAATTGGTAAAATTAAATACCTTGTAATCATGATCATTTATTTTTTTAAAAAAAAATTATCAGTTATTTTAAAAAAATTGTAAATCTTTAACACTTTTTTTAAAATTGGTTTTTCTTAAAAAAAACTTTAAAAGTTTAAAAAAAATTATTAGATTATCTTTAAAAAGTTAATTAAATTAACTTTTATAAAAAATAAATTAGCTGAATTTTCTTTTAAAAAAATTCATTGGGTTATACTTATGCAATAAAAAAAGATATTTATTATCTTTTGAAAAGAAGATAATCAAAGCTTTAAAAAAAAATGTATAAAAGTTTAAAAAAAAATCCATCAGGTTGTACTTAAGTAATAAAAAAAAAATTGTTAGTTACCTTTTGAATCAGATTGCTTTTGAAAAAAAATTAACCAGAATTTTTTTAAAAAAAATTCATCAGTATTGCTTTTATAATTAAAAAGATTAGGTTCTTTTAAAAAAAAGATTATTCAGATTATTTTTTTTTAAAAAATATCTATAAAAATTTTAGAAAAAAAAATTCATTGAGATTGTATATACAATTAAAAAGGTTAGGTTCTTTAAAAAAGATTAATTAAGTTATTTATTTAAAAAAAAATTAACAGAATTTTTTTAAAAAAAAAAATCTTAAAAAAAATACATCTGAGATTGTTCAAAAAAATGTTTATTAAGTTATCTTTTAAAAAAAGATTAATTAGGTTATTTTTTGAAAAAAAAATTTATGGATTTTTTTTTAAAAGTAATTAAAATTTTCTTTGATGTTCAATACACCATCTATATTTTTTTCACTGAATATACATGCATTAAAAAAAATTAGAAAAGAAAAATATTTTGTGATAATTTTTATACTAAAAAAAAATTTTTTTTTACACTGCATTATAAATCATGTGATGTTATATATTATTCTATATAGATTTTATATTATTATATGTAGAGTTGGAAAATTTGTATGTATTAGGCAAATTTTGATCTTGTACTTATACTGTACTGAACTAAATTTTATATTAATTATTATGTGTATTAACTGTACTAAACTGTATTAAGCTGTACTAACTGTACTAATTTTTCAACTCTGATTATACACTGCCTTACACTAAATTACCAGATTTTAGTCATGTGATTTAGTACATCGGTTTTACAATTGGCGTTTTTATCCTATTGTGCATAAAAAAAAAAAAAAAATTAAATAAATTTGTCTCTCTCTTCTATTGTCAAAATGCGAGAAAATGAGTTGTCAAATATACAACGTGAAAGAATTATTGGTGCATATCTTAATGATACCAGACAAACGATTATTTCAGCTCAACTAAATATTTTTCCTAGTACAGTAAATGATACTATTAAAAGATACAAAGAAACGGATTCTGCAGAACCTGAGAAATGTCCTGGCTGTCTAAAAATGCTTACTAAACGAGATAATCAGGTTTTACAATGCATTATCTGTGACAATCAGTTTGCTCTTTTTAGTAATATAACGGATAGTTTAAATTCCAGACTTAACATCACACTTCATTATAATACTATTAGAAAATATATTTATAATAAAGGTTTAGGTAGTTATACTACTCGTAAAAAACCTCGTTTAACTGCAGAACATCAAAAAAATAGATTTAAATGATGCAAGGAAAAATGTAACTGTGAAGAGAAATGGAAGCAAGTGGTATGATCGGATGAGTCCAGGTTTGCTTTTTTGAGTCGGATGGTCATATAAGAGTTTGGAGAAGTCTCAGAGAAGCTTATAATCAAGATTGTATTCAATCTACAGTTAAATTTGGTGGAGGATCAGTGATGTTTTAGGGTTGTTTTGGTTGGCATGGAGTTGGACCTCTGGTTGTAGTAGAAGGAAATATGAATTCTGATGATTATGTCAATA